TTGATTTGTCAACCAGTCTTGGATATTTTTTTTTATCCATGCATTGTTGGGCACTTTGTTCAATATCATGCTGTGATAAGGGGCGTTATCCAGTATAATCATAGATGGACTCTCCAATTTTTCTAATAACTGATGTTGAAACCATTTCAAAAAATTGTCCTGGTTCATCTCTCCATGGTAATCGCTCAATTTTGTTTTCGAAGAAAATATCGCTTCACTACCATCAATAAACCCATTTTCATTTCCAGCATGTAATATAATGTATCTAAAATATATTAGTTTTAAATTTTATAGTGCAAATTGTGTAAAATTACATACCTTTTACCATCTGTTTTAATAGCTTTCACGCTTTTTTGGTTTCCATTTTGCCAAGAGCGACCTATGGTCCCATTTTGAAATATCCAAGTTTCATCGAGGAAGACAAACTGGTATAAGGCCTCAACCTTGGCTTGATTGTATTGCCTTAGAAATTCCACCCTTTTCAAAGCTATACTTGGTAGTTCCATGAGCCCTCGTCGCGGATTGTCCTTAAGCCACTTAAATCCAAGATCTTAAAGACGTGGCACTACCATCAAATAATGCCCTATCTCTTAATCGAGACCATAAAGTTTGTATCGTAACTTGTTCTTCTGAAACCATGTGTAATATGACATTATAATTTAGTTAACAAATTAATGCAAATTTCTGATAAGTTATTATAATAAGATCTTACTTTTGTGATACATATTATAGATCACTTCTCGAATGGCACTTGTATCCAATGTCGCTGTGTTGGTTACACGTTTAATATAACTCCGCTTTTTCTTGGGCGATTCTAAATTTGCATCACTTTTCACACCCTCGGAAATACGACTAACTGTCCTTAAACTAATTTTTAAAGCAGCAGCAACACGCTACAAAAAATGAAATAAAATTTCACTATTATTAATATACATTACATATAATTATTAGTAACCTACCTCTTGAACAGCATTTAAAGGCAACAAAGGCCCGTTGTTGTCCCTTTCTTGCTCAAAGTAGTGCATTAACGAGGCCACGAGTTCCTTACACCGACTATTTAACTGTTTGGGCATCTTTATATACCAAAATTGCCTTTATCTACTCGTAAAATGAATAATTTTGTTTTGAAACAAACAGTTGTTGATTTACAGTATGCGGGGCCAAAGGATTTATAAAGATTTGAAATGCCACAAATTGATTCAGTGTCAAAATTAATACAAATGTCAGTTCCCAGTTTAAATAAGTTTCAAGGTGACAATGTGTCAACGCTGCGAAATCGGTTTAGTGCATTTACATGTCGATAAGTGATTGGAGCGTTTGCAAAACATTTTATTTCGCATAATGCGTCTAAATTTATCAGAAAGCAACTTATGTGATATTTTAATAACAATGTTTATATGACTATTAACCATAATAAGAGAGTAATGACCATTTTACAATTTATATATCACATTAATATGAAATTTTTATCGTGATGACGTGCACGCCACTTTGTTTGGCGTTGACTATACGTCTTCAATCCATCTACGTCCGCTTTATACGTATATTTTCTGATTCATCAGACAAAAAATGCTATGCTAACAAATATAATTCATCAACGTAATGATTTTAAGCGTTGGATTAAAAAAAGTAGTCATTTTAACATTTATTTTAAATGTAAAATTTGCAATAAAGATTTTAATTAGCGCCATTGCGGCAGTAAAAAACACAACGCATCAAAAAACATGAAACAAACATTCTTAGCTTAAAAATAGTCTTATTTGCGTAAGACCTTGACTCTTCAAATTTCTAATGAGAAAACTCTTAAACAAAATGAAATAAGAATAGCGTGCTTTATTACAGAACATATTATTCCTATCAATGTAGCGGATCATTTGAGCAACTTGATCAAAAGTATTTATGTAATTCTTCACAAGTTTCAAAACTATCATGCAGCAAAACCAAATGTACTGCAATAATTAATAATGTAATAGGTAATGTTAGCTTGAAACTTTAGTAGACATATGGAAAAAAAATTGTTTTGGTAAGAAATAGGATTTTTTTATAATTCTGACCTGGGTATTAAATAGTAGTTCAAAATCGTTCAAAACAATAGGAAAATTGTGTGTAAATTGTATCTTAGGTAGGTGCTAATAAAATAATATTTTACTGCCTTCGCCACAGTAGCAGAAGATTTATAGTGAATTGTGTTTTATTGAACAATTTAATTATTAAGCTATATAAAAACATTACAAATGCATTTTTTCGGTTATAACATAAATAAATGACTTAACAATTCCTAGTGATTTTTTTTAGATCTGGTGATTTTTCATTCCAATTTCTGGTTGAATCTTTTTTGCCCTTGAAACACTGATGAACATTCACCGAGACAATGCCTACAGTACAGTCCTTTCACGCATTTACAAATAATAACCATAAAGCGTCATCAATTAGAATATTTTGGCTATATTATAGGACATCAAAAAAAACTCTTACATCGATTTATACAAGGAAAAATAATCGGAAAACGTAGTCCAGGTAAAAGAAAGGCTCAAGAAATACGACAAAAGTTTGGAAAATCTACAACTCGGCAATTAAGGATAGCCATAAATAAATTATATTAAATATGATAGCTAACGATCTTTAACCGTCAAAGCACGACAAGAACAAAAATACGAAGAGGAATAACAACACAAAGAAGAAAATCATGGTTGTATTTTTTATTCAGGGTGTTTTCTAAATGAATGTCAATATTTAAGGGGCCGCTTTTGGATCCATTTTAAGGAGAAAACTTTATATGAACCTCTGTCCTAAACGTTTTAACTATTGAGATACAAGGTGGTAAATTTTCTAAGTACCTATAAATCATTTATTATTAATACAGACAGTCAGAAAAAATACACTTCATAGTTTACGTATTTTCTAGAGTACTTCGTATTAGAATTATTACTTATTGTAGTAAGTTTAGGTGTAGTCAAGGCGGTTATCGTTATTTTGTTTTGTTTCTTTGTTTGGGTAAATGGACAGCGACATCTATGATAAGTGTAATATATCTAATAGGTGCGACCGACAGATCGACAAGCCGACGGGAATGAGTGACATGGTTTTTTATGCTGGGCATGTTATATATCATCCAAGAAACATCTCACTTTTAAAAATTTTCCGATTACAGCACTTCCTCGCCATCAGACGTGAGAAGCGAAAGCAAAAGGGACAGCCACAAAGAACTTGGTAGAACACCATAGAACACATATTTATGAAAAGAGGCAAAGCCAGAAGAGAAGCCAAGAAACTTCCTCTAAACATAAAAGAGTGGACTAAATTGTTGCACCAAAGGTTTCTGTTTAACCGTACACCTTTTAGGGAAAACGTTTCAAGACATGCTCGTATAATGGAGCGTTTGCGTTATTTACATAGTACTAACCTTGTGTGAAAATTTCATTCAGATCCAAGCGGTACTTTCCAAGTTATAAACGGGCCAAGGATTAGCAGACACACAGACCGACAGACAGACAAAAATACACTTCAGAGTACACGTACTTCGTATTCGTACTTCCTATTAGAATTATTACTTATCATTGTAGTAGGCTGTGGCTTATTAACCCTGTAGTCAAGGCGGTTGTCATTATTTTGTTGTTGTTTTTTGGAGGAACGTACGGGGACTTGTATAATGAGTGACATGGTTTTTATGATATACATGCCATACAACATCCAAAGAACATATCCCGTTTTTGAAATTTTAAACGATTACAATACGTCCTTGCCGGTGGGCGAGGCTAGTAGAAGGTGAACAGGGCACAAAGAACAAAGAACAGTTATTGATGAAAAGAGGAAACCAAGAAGCTTGCTTTAAACAAAAAAGGATGGACTAAATTTATGTAGAAATAGTAGTCGTTCTTGTGATGTTTCTGTTTAATGAATTATTGGATGTGGCGTTACTATCTGTCTTGCTGTCACTACTTAGTCACACTGTCCGTCACTATATCTTAGAAAATTGATTGTAGTAATGGGAACTAAACGATCATCACGTGGTGTCGATCTTTCGTATTTTTTTCAATGTCTTTAATTTGAAAACTACAAGCCTATTTTTTTTTATTCTGCTGGTAACTATTGTAACTTGAACTATCCCCATTTCCGGCATGACGTCGAGTTCGGGAACACCCTGTATGTATAATAATTTATTTTTGAAGACTTTTAGTACATCGTATCTATAACGCTAATATGGAGTCTTTTTCTTGAAATACTCATTAAATATTGAAGGTCAGTGAGGGAATACCCTGTATGTATATCATACAGAAAAGCTGATGAAACTATAGGCACTGCTTCGAGAACAATCAGCTATGAAACTCTCCTGTCACTGTCAAAAACGGCTGCCATTTCGGCCTAGAAAGTCGAATGTAACTTCCCCCAGTACAACCATGAAAGAGGTTTTAGTGCTCCGCAGCAGCCAGCGTTGCAAGGTAACCTGCCAGCGGCCGCAAATATTATTTGCAATCGTAACATTATACTATTCCGAACAAATAATAAAAAGTAATATGTTTGTGCAAAAAGAAGCGACGAAGTATTGGTGACTATTTATTTATGAGAATGTTTTAAAGGAAATTCTTATTGGTGGAAGTATTTTCAATAAACAAACATATATACTTTTGCTATGCATTTTTTGCTGCGGCGATATATCAATTTGTTTAGAATGGGCGAAGAATAAACAAATATTCGTGCAAAATGGTTTATTTTTACTGTTTAACAATGTTTCTTAAATCTCTCATTTAAATGCGCATGTGCTCTCGTTTTTTCCGCGAGAAAGACACCAAAATGTGTGCTTACCACTGCTTACATTGAGAATGCAATGGATGGATTATATCGCATAGTATATAGCAAAAGTAAATATTTTTCCTTTTATTCTAAATACCTCCACCATTACGAATTTATTTTGAAGCTTTTTCATAAGTAAATAGTCATCCGTCGCTTCTGCTTTAATAGACATACTCCTTTTTATTATTGATTCACGCAGATCATATCGAAATATTATCATTTTACGATTGCAAAGAATATCTGCGGCCGCTGGCATGATACGTGGCAATGTCGGCTGCTGATTAACACTAAAATCTCTTTCATCGTTGTACTAGGGGAATCCACATGCGATTTTCCCGCCGAAATGGAGGCCGATTTTGACACTGGAAGGAGAGTTTCTTAGCTGATTGTTATCTACGCTTTGCTATAGGTATACGCACTGAAATCATTTAATAAAACCATTGGTAGATTCTCAACATTCTATAATAATAATCACTTAGACGCCGATCCTGAAGGAAAAGATATGCCCTCAATAATTCAATGTGTTTCGTTGATATATCATTTTATTGTAAAATCATTGTAAAGCTTTACATCAAAAAAACATGCACATATACATCGCAAAAACAATCTGCACATAAGGTACAATTCAAGAACCCTCAATGGCGTTAACAAATTCAGTGGCTTTTATCAGGGCGCCTTTTTGTATGTCGACGATCTCGTTCAATAAGTTTCGCCATTTCTTAGCGTAGTGCACTCTGTCGAATCTGTTGGCAAAACATCAGGTATTGTTTATCTTCAGTAAATAATATTAAATCTGCGAGAAAGTGTTATAGTATATGCGGTCGAACCTATCAGTGTCTTATGAGAACATGAAGTGGCTGACGTTTCTTTCACAAACCAAAATATGTTTTATATCAAACTTGGGTCTGCAACTCTTTTAGCCATATCGCGGAATGATGTGCCTATCGGGTTAGAGTAAGGTCCTCATTTATAGTCAGCCCTTAAGTTCTGAGTGCCAGTCGAGGTTTGACCAACCCTTGTATTTTAAGCCAACAATGAGGCACTGTTGCATAACCCTCAAGCACTGATTTAACATTGGCATTTCACAGTAGGCGATAACAGTTGTCATCACACGTTTTCAGTTTTTATATTCAAAACTCTGAAAATTTTAATTATCAAATTTCAAAATTTTCAAAATTCTATTGAATACCAGTACATATTTCCAAAGCGTTCAAATTTCCGAAATTTGTCTCCAAAATTTTCAGTTTTCAATAGTATAGAAAATTTAGGGTCTAAAAATTTTCAAAATTTTTAAATTCTCCACAAATATTTGAAATTTTAAATATTTTCAATATTTTCAAGATTTTCACCATAATAAATTTCTTTAAAAATCTCCTAAATTTTTAAATTACCCAAACCTTAGGATCGACTGTAAATGTGGGCCTGTGGTCAAAGAAAATGCCATGAAACATAATAACATTGCTTAACATCCCAGCCTTTCTCAACGCTAGAAAAGACAATGAAAATTAAGGAGGCCATAAATGCGTCCTACAAATTGTAGGAACGACTGGCGATACGGCCCTTAGATCCCAAAAAACATTGCACACCCTTCAACTCGCTTGACAGGCACTGCGAGCTGTCAGGTTGCCATTGCCGTGCTTAACATGCTATGGATGACCTCTAAACAAATTTCTAGCATATAAACACAACTCTTACTCGCGGGTGCGTCAGCTCACTGTGTGTTATAGCATTCGCTTATGTTTCAGATCTTCAACTTCCAAAATTGCAAAATAAACGCTCTGACTCAGCTGCACTTAGCAACAGTAGCCGCTCCAGACATTATGGTCTGGATTGACAGGGGAGCAGTGCAGATAAATTAAGTTTACTGCACAGATCCTCACCAGACATCGTTGCTTTGGAAACTACCTAAAACGAGAAGAGGACAAGGAGGATACGCCTGAGCTTTTACTCAAATGCAGTAGATGGACGGACTTCCTTCGACAACTGGAACAAACGTTCGGCGAGATGCTCACTCCTGACAATTTTGCCAAGCATGCAGGCGAGAGCAAGTGGGAGTAAATGCAACCACCAGTGAGACGAATGATGCTGAGCAAGGTATACGTTGAGAAAAGCAGGAAGAAAAACCAATAATAGGTTCCCTGTCTGCTGGGAGAGCGGGTTGAGACAAATGCCTTTGGTATGAATGTTTGCGTAAGGCTACCTACCATGACGATATGCTGTAATGCGCTTCCACGGTGTAATGTGTCGGGCTTGTCTGCCGTATGAAAAAAGCCACTCGATTTACGTATTTTTACCTCAAATTTAAATTTTGAGGATAAATCACGTTTTACTTACATTTAAACTTGAAATAAGAAAAAAAATACGAAAAATGTGAAGCTATGAGTTTTGAAGTATCTATTGGCAGCTCGCATATGCCTGAAATCTTTTCCTACAAGAGGTAGGCTATATTCAAATTTTAAAATCTCCAGTGTAGACCACTCCGATAACAAAGTTATTTATTTACCCGTTAGTATCGGCAGAGTTATAAAGATCACAGGCCATATCATGAAAATTGACACAGCTCTGTATAACATGCCGCTGACTCTCTCGCAGCTCCCATTCAAGCGAGGAGATCTGTAACCGCTTTTCCTCAGCCTTCAGCATTTCTTCGTCCACGTCGTACGCCTCCTCGGAGTTGTCATCCTCCTGAAGGGCCATCGGCACTTCGTCACCGGCTTCCATTTCCAGGCTGTCGTTCGCTATCAGCTCCTTTACCTGAATATTTTTTAGTAGTATCTATTTAGTAAGGTGTTTTTCAATAGCTAACACTCAGAGTGTGCTTCCAAAGTAAATATGTGCAAAAGTTAACTGAAAGATTTATCATGTTGCATATTTCAAATAAATTAAATACGCAGGGATACCTCAAGAATCAATGTTAGGTCCGGTCGTATTCTTAGTCTATATCAACGACTAATTAAACTTAAGCATAAATGGTAAATTCGTAGTTTTTGCTGACGATGCCACAATACTTTGGCAAGACAAAGATATAAATGACATTATGATAAAAACTGATAGTGATATACAACCAATAAAAAAATAGTGTGACACCAATAAATTGACTTTCAAGTTTAATTAGACAATATTTATGATATGTATTGATCCACAGACACCATCAAATTTTTGGGACTGACCACCTTTTTTCAAACGCATACTCTTTAATTTTGCTTGAACAATGTCAAAACAATTGTAAATGAAATAAAGGGCAACCCGTGCCGAGTGTCAAAACTTGCATATTAGGCACACGCTTGTTAACGTATTGCAGTGCTCGTTTCTTCTATTAGGAAACGCACTGTTTTCGTTCAGTCAACATGTCGAAGGAATTACTCAGTTCTAAAAAGGAGACGTAAAGCATCAAATTACCAGTTCAAAACTTTCCTCTAATGGACAAGTACTAACAGTTTTGTTCTATAATATCCGGGAAGTGAAATTAAGTGTCAATGAAACCGCCTACCTTACTATTCGTGAGTGCATTATTTACTAGGAAAAGGCATGTATACCGACTAAATATCTACCTAACGGTGTTAAGAAAGAAACTTAATAAAGAAATGCTTATTTTTGCTTGCCTCGATCACGTCTACGAATTGGTGTTAAAAGGCGTGTTTGAATCAAAGATCTACCAAGTGACTACAAGCCCTGACATTCCTATGTTTAAGTAGTTTCGAGAAAGCTGGAAAGGTGTGAATCCCGAGAAAAACAAATTTATACTGAAAGCTATCATGCCTGAATATTTCAGAGACTGACAAGCTGCTAGAATTTTAACGACATGCATTTACCAAAGAAGTTTCTAGAGACGACTATCGAGAATTAATAGAACTTTCAATAATATTTTAGGGGAGATACAGAGAAAACATTTAAGATTGGCAAAGCAATCTATTCATTAAAAATAGCGTTACTAAGTTTCCAGATCAAAGTTTCTAATAATGATGAGGCAGCTCTGTTAGATATCTGCTTGTTCATCGTGAAACCGTGTTTGCAATGCACCTTAGCGGTAAAAGAATCTCACCAGGAATTATGCTTTTTAAAGCCAATGAAGACCTACGAAAGAAAAACAATCCCAAAAGCAGCTTTACAAAAGTTCTGCCAACATTTACGGTATTTGACAGATGAGGTCTCTGTCTTATCTCTGAGGACGATGTAGATGAGGAAACTAAAGTAAAAATTGTTGCTAATTTAGCCAAAGAAAGTCCACCAGCCCACGGTAAACGCTACATCCCATCGAATAAAGAACTTTCTGGCCCACTGTATGGTAAGTCTGACGAATAAATTTTCGTTTGTCTTCTTTTACTGCTTTGATATAATTATGCTAACTGTTAAAATTAGCCAGCATAAACTCCAATTCTGGCAATAGATGGCACCTTATACTGTCAATTCTCTAAACTTTTTCGCATGTCAAAGAAAACATTTGATTTAGTATAAATGGTAGGAAAAAGCGATGAAAAAAGATATTAGCAAAACCGTATATAGGTGGACCTTATCCAGTGAGTTTATGTGGCCATAGTTTAATATTCTTGTGGTATATGGCTACACAGGATAGTTTGTTAAGCATAGGAACTAGATTTAAAGTGTTCCCAACAACAGTAGTGAGTATAACTAATAAGGTGCTCTACTTTATGCTACAACTGAAGTCAGCATGTATCAAGTTTCCCAAAAATGAAGCTGAAGTATTCGAAAGTAGATTGAGATATAGCATTCCCTTTTGGTGTGTCTGTTTCTAAAATTGTTTGATAAAGGTGCTTATTTTACAAAAAACGAACTATTAGATGTATAACTAAAAGCAATCCTAGAACTACTTGCAGATATATATTTAAACATATTAAAATAATGAATATCGTACCATTGTTAATCTTAGAAACAGCAACTATTATTCTTTTAAATAAATCTAAACTTGAAACATTAAATATAAATTAGAGTATAAGGCGAAGCCAAGACCTTAAATTAGTAGTACCTGAAACAACACTTGTGAAAGACTCAATGATTTGTAATGGTCCGAAAAATTTACATGTCTCCCTAATGCTATCAAAGGAATTAACAATTTAAAGACATGTAATTATCTTTGTATTATATTGTATACTGTATAATAGTTGAAAAAGTTTTTAGTGATATAGAGGGAAGCAAACTTTAAATTATTTCAGGTAGCAAAACCATATATAACGTAGACCATAGTAAGAGAAATTGTAAATTTCTCCTAAACCACTGGGCTTTGTGCTACACACCAACGACAAGTCAGAAAATGTTTCAAGTTCAAGTCTGAACCCACTGATTAACAAAAAAGTGTACAAGTCCAACTTATGTATAATTTTTAATAGGAGATTGTATAACAGCGTCAAAAAGCTAGAATCACCAGACCACTCACGGGGAGGGAATATCAGTTAATACGCCTTCCAATCTAATTCATGCTACAATCCCCGTTACTGTCCATATAAACACACATCACTCAGGCAATACAGGTAATGAATCGTTCATTTGAAGATTTTGAAATTAAAAGTAATATCCACATCCACAGAAGCAAGATTTTCAAACAGTTCCTTAAAAATCAACCTCGTAAGTGCTGGTATTATAATGCCCATATGCATCGTTTGACGCTTTAATCCAGATTGGGGAATCCGGATGAGGAACGGCAGGTTCGAATATGAGGCACGGACCACTTTCTAATCGCGATTACCTAATCGTTGAACAAAACGTGGCAATATTGCAAATGTGTAGATTCTGTCAAAAAATGTTGAAATTTGACAGTTTGTTCAAGAGGTTTATCGAAATGGAAAAGAATCAGAAAAAAAGAGAACCGAACTTTACTGCTAATGAAAAAATGCATTTATTTAATGTAATAGTGCGCGGCTATGCGGACAAGAAGACCGACAGAGCCTCTATAATGTCCAAAAGCAATGCTTGGAACCAAATTGCAAAAGAATTTAACTCCTATTCTCCCTCTTCTGCATAAAGAAAAGCCGAATCATTGATAATGTTGTATGAAAATAAAAAAAAATAAGAAGTAAAATAGGTGAGGAGAAAACCAAAGATTTTTAACTGCAGCTGGAGCGGCGCCTGTTATGAAGTGGAGGCCCAAAAGTCGCTCTCCAAATGACTTTCTCCAGACTCCACAGATCTCTAAAAGAAGACCGAAGCAAGTTGTGACTGCTTCAACATCTTCTGATATTGCCTCTTAGTACAATCTACTCTTACACAAAAGACTGACTTCATTGGAAAAACAAATACAAGCGACCGATGAAGAGCAAGAATTTATAAAAATGGAAATAAAACTTAAAATAGATTTGCTTCAGTTAAAAATTTTCAATCAAAAACTAAATTTAAATAATCTTTTTACTACATTGCGCGTTCGAATATGAGCTTTATTATAAAGATTTTCGGCAACATTGCCTGGATTTGGTAGAGTTGTCATTAAATAGTATTTCAGCTGATAACTACTATCTCCCAAGAGCACAGCGTTCTGAAACTATCTCCCTTCAAAGCGTGCTCTTAGGTGGGATGCATTGAAAATAGTTAAATCATGGATAGGTCCTGACCATCGAGCAACAATATCAAATATTTTTAAATCTGGCCCAGCAACTATTTGTGTATTTATAGAAAAATACGACTTTCTATTACGAAAAGCTTCTCAGTGTTGAGCTCCTGGTGATTGTATCTTTATGTGTGTCCCGTCAATGCATCCGATGACTCGTGGAAATCTACAGATCCTGTAAAAGCGATTCTGAAGTCTTATTATTTCATCAGCATTATTGGGCATTCTGATATATTTTTGATTTGATAGACCTTCTGTTGCTCTTGAAACCTTATTAATAAAGAATCCAATACAATTCTGATGTGCATTGCAGGCATAAAATAGTAGGCAGGTAAGGATCTGATACCTGATTAATGGGCGATACACTATTATTCCTGGAAAAACAAAACTTTTATAGTGATGACTGAAATCTTGTAAATACCTAATGTGATTCAGATCCATAGCCAGAGGAAAACGTGTTTAAAAACGTTCCTGTCTAAGCTTCAATTCATGCCAAGTAAATTGATTAACGGAATTTAAATTGCTATCAAACTCGAATTGATGCTCTATTTGTTCTAACAATCTGAGGACTGTGTTTTATTTGGATCCGAAATCCTCTGGAAAACGATAGGCTAAAAAAATCTGTACATTCATAATAGCATCTTGGAAATCCGAAACGAATAATATCTAGGATACACCATCATCGTCAAGGAAAATCTGATCTAGCGATCTGCATTACTTTTGCAATAACACACTTTCTCGCAAAGAAGGTTCACTTGCCTTTACGCCAGGATTACGCCTTAACGCGATCAGCGGGTGCTAAATGTATCGGTGCACGTGAAAACGTGACAATAATCTCGATGAGTCGTTAATCGTACTTCTCAACAGACGATGAATATGGGCATTAGACCATTGATTTCGGGTTCCATAGATAACACATATGATTAGTTCCTTCTGGGGTGTCGTTCATCTTTTTTTTTATACTCCAATTACCACGAAGGCCTGAGGCCTAAACAGCCATTGGGTACCGTGGGGCTGTAGGGAGATATAGGGGAAAGGGGGAACGCCACACGGACTCTGGCGAGGGAACACGTGTGCATGCAACATGCACACATTCTGGCTCCGCCTACGAGATCCGCCGGGTGGTACCTCCACATTTGACAGTCATAGACCGTCTACCACCTACGGACAATCACAACATCCATAGCCAAGAGAAAAA